GTGAAATGAATGTGAACCACACAAATTGTCCAAAAATAGTAAGTGAGAAGAATTTTTTGGGATGACCCAAAAAGGAAAGTGAGAAGAATTTTATGGGACGGATGAAGTATATAATACTCCGTAATAATAATAACAAAATAGTGGAAGAGAAGTTTGGGCTGGAAAACTGTAGCACTTTAAATATTTATTTAGTTTAGATCGAAGTTATCAAAAGGATTATGTCATAGAGCCCATTTGGTAACATTAAAATTGGCTGAATTGGCTGATTCTGCTGAAATTTATGATGTTCTGGCTGAAGTGGCTGTATTGGCTGATTTTGCTGATTTATGAAAAAATTATGTTTAGAATATTTGTTATTAATAAATTAAACAAAAAAATTATATGAAAAAATAGCAAAAATGATCATCTACATTAACTTCAGCCAATACAGCCATAAACGTAACTCTAACCTTACCTTTTCAGCTTATTACAAAATTCAACGCGCGAAATCAAAAGTTAAGTGTTTGGTGAAAAAAACTGGCTGATAAGCCTGATAAGCCGAAAACAAGGGTCACCAAACGGGCTCATAATGTTTTTCGTAGTTGATGAAAAAAATGATGACTAGAAATTAATAAGGTGTACCTTAATCTCTATAACTCTAAATAATGTCAAGAGTTGTGTCGCTTGGCGGCAAAAATTAACAGAGAAATCGAGACATTGGGCGGCCAAACACTCGCATGACTCAAGAAAAAAATGATGCCGAGAGAGACATTAGGCGCCCAAGCAATAATGGCTCAATTTTAACAGAGATGTAATCCTTATAAAAAGCCCATAGTTATATCCCTACATGCACTCTAGATATTTGCCGAGCTACAAATGGAAGGTAAGAAAAAATTTAACAACTGTGTGTTTTTTATTTTTTGCATCAGAGTTTCAGGAGTTCTCTTACTTTGCTTCTTTAACTAATTAAATTCCTTGATTGCATATTTACAGATGCCCCAGTTTTGGTGTTGCGAGAGATGTTTCATACTTGCATCGCGAAAAACAATGCTACCGGCGAAGTCAAAAGTCAAAAGTTTATTAGTTTAATAAAAATAAATAATACTGAAAATCATTAAAATAAAAAGAATAATAAAATTCAAGATAACTTAGATCTCAGATTGATAGTTTTCAAACATTCAGATCCTAAATTGAAAGTTTTCTATCATTCGTGTTCTATATCGATACATTTCATTTCCAGGTTCCGAATTGATAATTCGTCTATCTTTCAACTCCTGAATTGATAAATTTTCTTTTAGATATTAATGGATGATTACTAATAGTAGCAATATTTAAAAAAAAAATTGCATTAATCTGTCAACAAATTAAAAGGAATATATTAAAATAAACAATTTTGACAATTGAAGTTAACACAACCTCTGCCCCATTCAAAGGTTTCAATTGCAAAATGAGATGATTGTTTAGACAATGATTAAAACAATTTTTTTAAAATAAAAAAATAATAAATAGTAAAAAAATAATTTAAAGAAAACTTTAAAAGGAATTAAAACCAGATAGCACATTAATAATTGTTTTAACTTTCTTTTAATTTTGTCACTATATTTTTATAAATTGAAATACCTTTTTTTTATTTCTTTTTTATTATAATGTAAAATATGATTATCCTATTAAGTTATGGTAAGGGTAGAAATGTAGAATAAAAAGATAGACGGTATTTTGGTCCTATTTTGAAAAGATAAATAACATAGTCTTATTTGTGCATTTAGGGATTAGTTTAGTCCTATTTTGAGGCTATTTCTCAAATATATATTAGTGGTAAAATAAAGATAAGAAAAGGAAAAACAAAATAAATAAGTGTAAGTAAAAAGAAAATAAAGTTAAAAGTTAGTACGGTGAGAAAAAGTTCTTTTATAAGAAAACTAATCCAAAAATATATATAAATATGAAAATGAAATAATAAACGGGAAACAGAAAAAGGAGAAATGGAATACATAAACATTGAAAAAAAGAATAAAATAAATTGAAAAGTAGTAAAATAAGAAAAAGAAGACCCAAAAGGGGAATAAAAGAGTCAAGACGATAAAAAAGGAAAAAAATTTAGGAAGAAAAAAGAAAAATGATACATGGGACCGCTTGGAGAAGATTTGTGAAAGGTGGGATTTATGGTTGAATGATTTTCAAAGAAAATGAAAAAACCTGGAATAGCAGGTCATCAACTGGTCAGGGACCAACGAATGAAGATGTGGTGCAGGGGTTGCATTATTATTCATGAATAACGATAAGATGAGACTATTGTAAAAAGGCCGCTAAAAGGGTTCACTTTCATTGTCAGAAACACCTTTCGATGGGTAAAATCAATTTATATAAATTTCCATTTTTAATATATACTGCTCAATGTACTGCCTAATACTCCCTCATTTAATATAGAAAATACACTAATAACTTTTGAGTGACAAAATACATCTCAAACAAAAGTTTTGACGGGATTGTGTGTAGGTGAAAAGATGTTTAATATCAAAAATATCGTTGACACCAAGTCCTTTGAGATCGTTTTTCAAGTTTCAAAGAAGACAATTTCCTCTATTTGTGTGGGAGATACAACGCGCATGTTGTCTTTTAAAAAAATGAAATTGTTGACTAAAAGACTCTTAGTATATATATCCACCAATTGAAGACTAGGAGACACATATTTGACAATAAGATCTCCACGAGCAAGTAGGTTGTTTCTTGGATTTCCATGAAACCATATTAAGACCAAGAAATACAGCAAACCTTGATGTAGATCTGCAACCGGATGTCCGATATATGCCAGAATAGGCTGCCAATATTGTCCATGATATGGAGACTCCTGAAGATACCTTGATCAAGAGCAATGAACGAAGTGAGCTTCGGAGAGGATCCTGGTCGACAGCCAACTAGCCCGACAGAAGACGATGGGATCATGTCAGGGTCGCCGGAGAGAGCGGGACGGACATAACGTTCTGGAACAACTATGTGAGCAGCCGATCTGGACTCGGTTAGAGAATGGACGTATGTAGCAGCGGACGGCGAACGCAGTGGCACGTTGGAAGCAAGCATCGTGGTCAACGACGCAAAGAAGGTAGGTTGTGTGGACGTAGGCAGCAGCAGGCGTCGAACTCAACCGCATGTTGGAAGCAAGCACCGTGGTCAGCGTCGCGAAGAAGGTGGTCTGCGCCGTATCAGCCGCGCTCATCCTCAAATGATCAGAGACTGAGTAGATGTGACAACAATCAACCCCGAGGCGGCGATGGTTGTACCAGGGTTCATGGGAGCCGAAAAAAACAAAATAATAGTAATTGTGTCTAAAAACCTAGAGCTCTTGATACCATGTGAAATAATGGGAAGGAGTACTCCAATAGGAGAATAGATGTATATACATATATATATATACACACACACACACACACACACACACACACACACTATACATATATAGGTTTTGGTTCAAATAAGAACATTATCTTAGGAGAGAATTGAGAATGAATCTGGATCGTTAGATTTGCTTTAAGTGAAACTCAGTGTGCATTAGATGAAAACATAATGTGCATTAGGTGAAATTGAAATGTGCAACATAAAGAGTACGATACATTGGCATTATGTGAAGCTGAATTGTGCATTAGGTGATATTGAAATGTGCACTATGTGAAACTGAAATGTGCATAATAAAAGGTATGGTGTGATGTTATTTTTGTACCTTTTATTACGCACATTTCAGTTTCACCTAATGCACACTTGAGTTTAAATTTTCATTCTGCACGTTTCAATATAATCTAATGCAAATTTCAGTTTTATCAAATGCACAATTCAGTTCCTCATAATACAATCCAACAGGCCAGATTCATTCTCATTTCACTCATGGGAGTCCGTTCTTACTGGAACCGCTCCCTACACACACACACACACACACACACACACACACACACATATATATATATATATATATATATATATATATAATAGAAAAGTTGGCAAAATACAAATTATTTTTAAATAGATACTCCGTATTAGGCTATTACCATTGTCTGATGCGGTGACAAAAAACAAGAGTTCAGGACAATCCTTATATAATGTTGGATTAGTTTTATAAATACATATTTTCAGTCATGGTTAGTTGTATGTTACTCTTTTGTGTGTTACTAATTCCAATGATTTGAAAATATTTATATGTGACAAAGATGACAAAAAGTACCAATATAAAAACCAATGTTGTATTTAAGGAATTATTTCAAAAGTTGTAAACCACTTATAACGTTCATCTTTAAATATACTTTATTAAATATACTTTATTGTGGAAATCCTTTACTTCTAAATACTTTATTGTATTTAGAATTCATATTGTTACATTTTACCACAATCTAATTTATATTCAAAACTTACTTTTGTCACATGAGTAATATCTTATTCCCGTGCATCGCACGGGAATAATACTAGTGTATAAGTAATGCACCTACTTCATACCTAACATGCCTACTATCGTGTCTTCGTCAATACTAGTCTTATGCAAGCCTTCATTAAAGGAGTGCCTTAACATTCTGTACCAGTTTCATCATATTTGAGACCGGTTCAGTATGAAACATTTGTCTCATTTGGAGTACATTAACCAAATCGGTGGATTCGGTGCCATACTTCATCAACACCACTGAGTAATCATAAGAATCATCCTAGAAAATAAGAATGACATAAAACCACGATGTTGTGTTTTAATACCAGAACCGTACCAATTTATGGGTACAGTTAGGGCGGACACAATTCATACCAGGGGATTACCAGCTACTCCCAGTTTCTGAAATGGAGGAGAAACCACAACTGAAACTTGCTGAGACAAATTCCACTTATAGCTTAGTTCTTATACAGTTCTTTGAATTATTACGGAGTACTACGTACTACTCTTTTTATAATCCTGAACCTCACCAAACCCCTGATGGTTATTTGTTGCTTGTTGGGCCAATAGTTATACTTAAGAAATAACCAAATGGAAGCAAAGCCATAACAGTAGATTCCAGTAACCTATATCAAACCCTTTTGCAGTTTTGAACATACCAGATGGATGAACAGTTATTAAAAATTGTATGCAGTCATTTGAACATGAACCAAGAATGTTTTATTAATTATTTATGTTTTACAAGACTACACTGTTGGACTCTACATTCACTTTGCAGTAATGAATTGATGTAATATGATAGGCTCTACTTAAACTCTAAGCTTTAATCCTATTATTAGTTCAAAACTTCATTGACCTGCACCTAATAACCTTCCCTTTGAACCTCCTCTCTGCCTTTCTTCCTCTCTATCAATTTTTCCTCCTCATCTTTTAGGTGTGATAGGAGAAGAAGAAACCCAAATAAAAAGAATCCGCCCGACGTGTCTCCTCCGCCCCCTCCCCCTCCGCCACCTCCGCCATGCCGTGGTGGAATGCTGGGACCGCTGTCATCAAGTCTTGGAGTGGACGGAACTCCCTTATCTGTGTTCAATTCAATAATTACTCTCCATGATTATAACTAGAAATAATCACAATAAATGAAAATAGTATTAAATTAAAATGGAAATAAATACTAAAAACCGATCCATTACCATAAGGATTTCAAGACATGCTTTATACAAGCAATAACAGACTGAACAGTATGCAAAACAAAAACACACTACTAAAAAAAGTTAATAAGTGACAAAGAAAGTACCGAATTGAGGAGCAGCATTTATTGTCTTGTGGTTTTCGGCGCGGGGAAGAGTTTGTGCACTTGAACAAGTTGAACCCTAAAATAAATTTGTGCATCATATTCAAGACTTTGACATTATGTCATTGCTAAATGCTAATTCATTCATATATTAGCACTACATGAAATTACTACTATATTTGCGTGAAATGCCAAGAACACAATAATCTACAGATGAAATGCATTGATGATAAGGTGAAAATAACACCATAACTTGGGATAGATTACTGCAAGTCATGGTACCCATTTGGGATGGATTTATAACTACAATTTTTTTCATATAAGTACTCGCTAAAACACATTTTCTATTGGTGCTTTTTTAGTTGAATTAAAGTTTAACAGTGTCAAAGCTAAAAAAGAATGATTCCCAGTTTAGTAAAAACAACTTGAACCACTTCTATTTGCAATAAAAGAAACAACATATTGCTATTAGGAAAAAGTGTTCCTGTAAGTTTCAAAAGTCATCCAATCAGGCTCTTACTATGTAATGCAACTTACAGATGCGGCTGCACAGATGAAAGAGGAGGATTGTGGTCTATCAAATTGTTTGGTAGACCTTATTGCACCAAAAGGTTGATGCTTTGTTGACAGGTGAATTTTTTTACAACCAGAAGAGTTCATTTTCAGGGGAAACTTCAACTGGTTCCGATTCTTGGGCTCCTGATGATGGTTGTTATTTATCAGCACTACTGAAATACGAGTTTTAGCTGTGAAAGAAATTGTAACCTATGTGAGAAATTTTTTTTAATAGAGCATAAATGATAAACAAATTGAGGTAATATTACCACCAACTATACAATATCACTATTTCAAACGGAGTATAACCTTAGTGCCCAATTGGGGACTGCACTTTCTGCCAAATCTATTTTCACAATGATTTGGCTGAATGGGCTACTTATAATAAGTACTCCAGTATATGAGTAACTTTTGTTTGATGAAATGAACAAATTAGGTGATATGAAACAATAAAACAAAAATACATCTTGTAGATAAGATATTAATAAGCATTGTGATTACCAGTAGTTTACCCATACCTGGCGCTGGTTCCAACTTAGATGTGAGTGTAAATCCAGTTACAGTAGCCAATGTTGCAATCTTAGTCAAAGGAGATGATACCCCAATAGATTGATCACACGCTATTAGTACCATGACTGCAAAATCTGAGAAATTAACTTTTGCTCACGTCCAGTGACCATTTAAAAAGAACATGTCAATTGATTAATATAACTCACGAGCTATTAAATGACTGCACTGACCATTTAAAGGTTCTCATTGCAAAATGGTCCCGTTATTTAGAGAGTATAAGTAAATATATTAATTCAAATATATTTTGACAAATAGTTTTGATGTTTATATAATATATGGGGTCATTGATCATAATTGTTATATTATAGATGTATTATTTTTAATATTTGATGATTAACTTATGAAATATCATTCAAGAATGTTAATTGTTTCTTAAAATAGAAATGGGAATGTTAGGAGGTCCAAAAACGAAAAGCTAGAATTTTAGTCGGGACGGAGGGAGTAATAACAGATAAAGAATGAACCTAAACTACAATTCTCTTATGACTAAAAAATAAAAACGAAGCTCAAGAACACCCTCTAAGCTTGATCTATTCACTGCGGATAAGATATAAAAAGATATGTAGGAACAAACAAAACAAGATGGGATAAAATAAGAAGACAGTAATAATCGACTAACCTCGGGGTATCAGACGAACGGCGTGGTGTAGACTGCGTCCGACCTAAGGGGAAGAGGAGCAGGAAACAGAGAGCAATCTAGCGTACGACCGTCTGGGAGATTAGCAGCGGAGAGAAACGGTAGATCTGGAACACGATCGGTCCAGATCTGTGATTTTCTAATTGGACCGGATCAAAAGCTTTGGGCCAATAACTTTAAATCGTTTAAATTGTAGGGTAATTCTAAAGGGATTTTTTCCTTAATATTACTACCTCCCTCACACTAACATTGGGACGGAAGAAGGTGACACGATTTTGAGAAAAGTGAGATTATATGGTTGATATTGAATTGATAAAGCAAAAATAAAGTAAGAATTATTTAGAGTCACACAAAATTTACCAAATTTGATATGTGACAATCTTAGTGAGATTTCCTGAAAAGGTAAAACGAGACAATCTTAGCGGCACAGAGGGAGTACTATATAAAAGTCATTTTCCAGAAATGTAACCACATTTACATTTGGACAAAAATGTGATTAAGATAAAGGGGGTGTTTGGCAATTGGATGTTAGTTATTGGGTGTTGGCGGATTGTGTTAGCTAATTGATAAGAGCAGTTTCTGTTAGCGGTTTTGATTAGCCGATAGTATTAGCGGTTTATAAAATAGTGTTTGGTTAAATGGCCGTTTACAATTAGCTGCTAATATAGTAAATGACTTTTAAGGACATCATGTTTAGTAACTAATTTTATATGCATATGTTCCGTAATTAATATAATCCGTACAACTCTATAACTACTTATATCATTTTTATTTATTAAAAAATGAAATATCCATTAACGCAGCTAAGTAATGGATCCTAAAAATGGATAGACAATTTTCTCCAAGCATACGACCATATATAATCAAATCTAATATCCTATAAAAATAACATATACGATCCAGAAGGACTAAAATTATTTTATTAATATAATAATATACACTGTATTTGTTTTCGATAAAGAGAATAAATATAGTGAGATACAAATAGCAGATTCCGATAGAATATACTAGGTGATATATATAGGCATATAGCAGGTTCTTCCATGATAGAAACTAAACACCCAAGAATTCTTGTATAAGATTGATATATGAGGAGTAATTAAAATTGAGGAAATCTGGTGGAAAGAGAATGCAGTAATTATACGATCCATGAGAAGACTAATAAGAGACTCACGTGGGTAGATTAGGGAAACTGGAATAATAAAACAATCGGCCAGTTATAAACGCTACAATTATTAGAGTTTTCTAAGTTGGTTGTTCCAAACAAAAAGCTAATTGGAAAAGCGGTTTACCAAACACCTTAATTAGCCTTTTGATCTAGTCAAACAGCTAAAAAATGGTCAAATAAGCCAAAAAATGGCTGATAGACCAGCAACCAAACACTCCCAAAATGTCAACTAAAAATTCATGTTATCGCCTAATTTTCATGTCATTTTCGGATGACACTACCGCTACATCACTATCGCCGCCATCGCCATGTCACTTTCGCTATCGCCACCGGTCACCGCTCCGGCCACAGTGACCCCACCACAGTTACGTCGCAACAATGACGCCTCAATAGTTACGCGACCACAGTGACACCGTCAGTGCACAGTGACACTCGATTTTACAGTGAGTGTTGTTACGACTCTCCTGAAGTTACTTCAGGAGAATAAGTCTGTGACAGTGTCACCGGAAGTTACTTCAGCCACCCTTTTTCCATCCATCACTGCAGCAGACACGGTCCACGCCTGCGTCCTCCCACTGCCCCTGTCCGCCAATCGCGGCCACCACTTCGGCCAGCCACCGCACCCCAGCCCCAGTCCCACCGCACCCCAGCCCCTGCCCCACCACAACCCGCCTCAGTCCTGCATGATCGTTGCCCAAGACTCTGCTCCTGCCTTTTTACCCTGCTATTGGACCACCTCTGTTCCATGTCACAAAACCACCTCCGCCCCCTTTGCCTAGGCGAAACCAAGCCACACCATCGCCTCTCTCGACCAGATCTGAAATCCAAGTACCTACACCATTGACGTCGTGAACTTCGCCACAGATCAGGAAATCGGAGCAGACATCGGTGAATCCACCACCATCGCGTCATGTCATCTCTGTCGCTGAAGCCCTCATCCCTGCAGTCTCACCCTCGTCGTTGTAGTGTCACCGTCTTCATCGAGTCCTCTTCAGTAAGACGTGTGGCGGATGGTTGAGGCCGGAGGTTGCGAGCAGTAGATCAGAGATGGAGGATGGAAGAACGGGGAGCGCGACTGCAGAGGTGCAATGGCCGGCTATGGAGCTGCGATGGGCCACTGTGAAGCTGGGAGAAGAAAGATTGTGGGCTTGGTCTCATTCAACGCGATGGAGAAGGAGAAGTCCGCTGGCTGTGGTCACTTTATTGGAAATACACAAAGTGGTCATATATTTGGAATTAGAAACTTAGGAGTAATATTATTGTCATTGTTTCAATTGTAAATGGAGAATGGTTTTTACCAAGGACAATCTCCTATTTTAATTGGTTTTTAACAAAATGATTAATTTTACAAACTTGCCCTTACTAAGAGTATTTTCATTTCAACTTGCTAAACAATTCCTTATATAGGTCTACACCGGAAGTTATATACCATCTTCCGTATCATAATAGTTGCAACATTAGAATTTATACACTATTTATGTACTCTACTTTGACTACTATCTTATTTATTAATGTATTTGAATTACTTTTTTTTGAAAAATATTGTTCAGTTCGTCTCATTACGAAGTTTCATAATATGATTTGGAAAAAAATATTAATAGAAAATTAAATATACAGACAATGAAAGTTGTCTAACAAGCATTAAAAAAGAAACTTTAAAACAAAAAAGGAAAGTACATAATACGAGTCCGTATATACTTGATGGAGGCTAAATAAAACTCAATCTTGCAGAGAGGGTGGAGCCTACGCTGATGGAAGGCACAAAGAAGACGTGGTATGGGAGGATACACAGGTTATCGCCGCAAAGGCAGTGATGGCGGATATAGAGGTGAAGCCGATGGACGTGGCTGAAGCTATGGCAGTGCCGGTGGCGGCTATGGTGGCCGCCGGTGGTGTTACTCTAGGAGAAGAAAGATCAGAGCTAGCTACTCTCATAGGATCTCTGATTTGAATACACACACATATATTGAATTAAAAAATATTGAATTAAACTATAAATTCATATTAGCATCAAAGATAGCAACGATTCATCAAAGATGCACTCTCATTTAGTGACTGAATTTTAAAATATAATACTGATGCGGTGCTTTAAAAATGGGCATTTGTTGATGCACTCTCAAGGATGCATCACCTGGGCATTTTGAAAATGGCAAAATAAGTGACTCAATTATTAGTTCTTGATGCCTTTTATTATCTAACTTGGCCCCTCAAAATTTTATTTTGAGAATCAGCCACTTCAAATTAACATATTTTGTGGGTTATGCATCAATTAATTAACTCTAATTTCACAAATCATCTTGAAGGAATCTGAATTCACATTTTAATTCTAAATTATCTTGGCAAATAATCTCTTATACTCAAATATGCTCCGAGAATAATCTATCACGCCACCAAGATGAACCTCTAATAATCTTAGAGCATTTTCATTCGTGCTCTTTCAATAAATTATTTTCTTTTAAACATCTTTGTCACATCATTTTTATTCAATAAATTTTAAATAATTTCAAAGAACAATACTCTTCATCAACAATGATACTCAAATAGTTTGTTTTTCTAGAACATGCATTATATATATTTTAGCTACCTTCTGAATTAGTATGGATTTGAACCTTGATAAAAACAACTAGGAAACCTGTTTCCCTAAATGATAAACGTTTCAAAAACTTTGAATTTCCATTTTTTCCTTTTTATGATGGAAACTAGTGTTTAAACAAATAGTGAGTCTTTTGGTATTTCTTCCTAGCAACATTGTTATATTTCACAACGCAATACATTGCTAAAAATGTTTTGCATTTTATGTATTATTATGGACTAATGTGTGATGGTTTCTAAACTTGAATATGCAGAATGTGTTTATTATTGGATTGTTAAACAAGTTATATGAAAAAATTAAGTGCATATATATAAACCAAAAAAATGTGTACATATATGAAAAACCATTTATACATATATCCTAATATTTTTTAATATTTCTACGTTTCCCTCACGTTTTATATCATATACTAGTACTTTTTAGGAATCACGCTTCTAGCATTTCCCATGCTAGATGCATCGAGACAATTTCACCACAAGATATCTGTCTGAAGATGGTGTGGCGTGTCCAACGAGTGGTATATAAGAAGCAATTTAAGTGCAAAGAATTAAAGAACGAACATGTTAGGACTTAGGATTACTCATCGAGGTGTTACTTGAAGTGGGGATAAAAGATATGTCCCTACTTAGCCACTTAGCCACGAGAAATGACAGTAGGGGAAGCAGTTAGGAGTGCGATCGATCTATCCTTCGATCATTCATTGACGGCACAAGGATTTTTAATCCCTTTATGCAGAAAAAGAAGTATCCTTTATGTTAAGTGTATGAAACTATGAATTATGAAGGCACTCCAGGCACAGCGCCAGATGGGAGGTAAAACAAAATCACTTTAAAGCCTTTGGCATGGGCCCCGTAGGGATGGACTCAGGTCAGTCCGGTTCCGGGCCGAGACCGTCCGGTCCATGCAAAAAAAATTGTCAAGCACAACTGCACAGGTCAGACAAATATAATTCGGTCAAGTCCCGCACAGAGCCGGACCCGGTTCCAAACTGGGTCCATGCCTAGGGCCTTGTTCCACAAATGTATGCCACTCTCTACATTACCAACCACAGATTTCGACTCAATTTCCTAACTCGCGTTAATAAGCGGCGTATAAAATAAGCAGTGTTGTAAGCTCATGTTTACTTCAAAAGATTTAACACACCGTTTAACATTAAAATGTCCAAAATAACCTTATACATATATACACACACAAACATTCATGAACACAAGTAAAGGGGTCGTACGCTTAGTCGCTTACTCACACCCCTAACGGCCTAACCCCTACCCCGCCCTGTACCCCCACCTCCAATTCTACACCCTTGACCCCCACCCCTTCCCTACCCCTACCCTTACCACGACCTTACCCTCCACCCGTACTCCCACCCATACCAACCCCCCACCCTGCTCGTAGGGGTTGG